ACTTTTCATTCGTTTCAAACTAAATCTAGTTTCCTTTACCTACAAAATGGCGTTCAAATATTTTCTTCTTGAAATAGTTGGCTCTTTGATTGTAAAAGTAATATTTCTTGGCTTGTAAATATTTAAAACAGAAGCTGTATCAAGACTAATAAAAATTCAGGTAGGCACTGATTTAAAACTCGTTACGTCTGTCCTGTTTTGTTTTTGTGGAACATAATGATCTTTTTTCAACCTGGATTTTTAGTTCTAATTTTGAAATAAAATAAAAAGCGACGTTGCTCAGATTTATTTTTTTCAACCAGGATTTGTTTATACGTCGTCTCTTTTTTTTAAGAACGTGAATGAAATTGTAATGAACCCTTGCTTTTTCTTTTTAGTAAATTAGGTTTACGCTGGTTTTTTATCTAATTATGTATATATCTAGGTTACAGAAGGAAAGCCTATTTTTTTTTAAAGAGAGCAAACCATCTAATGTCTCCTCTCGCCGTGGGTGAGGCAAGAGGAATTGTCAGACACTTATTGACTAAAAACCATCCCGATCCTACTCCTGCTCCAGACCAAGCCCGCGGTCCGGAGCGTTTGTTTCGCTCGCCCCGCAAACCGCTAACCTTAGCCGGGGCTAAGGAAATCCTTGTTAAAAGTTCACAAAATTTGCCTTCATTAAAAAGGATAGTTAGTCACAGATATGTGTAAATACATTAATATTATTATTACATACATATTATTAATCGCTCTTAAAGCTCTAAAGACTTGCTGCAGCTCTGAAAGAAAAACCATGCTGGTTTTATCTAATTATATTCGACTAGCTTTTGCTCGAGACTTCGTTAGCGCGGAATAGTTACTTCCTGCTGATTTTTTGTATAAAAACTATTCTACGTCGTTTCTCGAGTTCCAAACCATGTCTGTACCAAATTTCACAGAAATCGGTTCAGTAGTTTAGGCGTGAAGAAAAGACAGACAGACGGGCAGAGTTACTTTCGAATTTATAATATTAGTTTGGATTTCGTCGAAACAAAACTTTTTCTTTCCAGCAACAAACTACAACTACTAAATTAATAATATGTATTCTGTATTGAACATCTCATTAATACAAAACGTGGTAACGTATATACAAATTTAGATACACAAAGAGCCTCAATCGGTGCACGTTCTCAAAATACTGAGACAATAAAGCTCACTCGCGATTCTATTAATTATGAAGGCACACGAAATGAAATGAACACCGTACGTCGTGACGTCATCCATACAAATACTTACACACGCCTCAATTAATACCTGCCCGACAGCCCTCATCAAACCTCATACGAATATCTAATTTAATATAACATGAAAGCAATTTCATATACAAGTTAAATATAAACCCACATAGAAGTCGCTACATGTCTTTAAGATCGACAGCCATGACACAGTGTAGAATATCACAAAGAGTGTCCCGTGAAAATTCACAGTCTAGTAAGAAAATCGGAAAGAGTAGTTGTAGTCTGTGAAGAAATATGATATTACACCGCTGCCTAAAATGAACGTTAACGACTTCGTTGAAGATAAGACGTTTGACAGCGCTAGTAATTTTGACATTCGAATCACGACTTAATTGAATGTCGGTATAGTTAGATACGCCACTGATTTTCATACTATATTCATTTACTATTGAAATAGATTCCTCGTGTAGATATTGTATAATCCCTTTGTTTTGATATTAATAATAGATCTGAAGTTTAAGATTACATTTTAAACTAAAGTATCAGTTTTCGTACTTGGTTTCATGAGGATTTTGATGTTAAAACTTTTGTTATTAAAATAAAATATCTGTATTTTATCAAGATATGAACTGTTTCAATAATACCTAATTAAATATACAGTTACTTTTATCATCAATAACCTCCTCTTTCAATCTCTATGTCGCACGACTACTCAATCCTTACAGCCCTTGGCCACCCGCGTCACTGACAATGACAATTATTTCATTACTGTAAAATGAAATCAGGATAAAATTTTAATTAAATTGTAATATTTACGTACTGAGAACGGACCACAAACAGTTCTGTTTCCTTCAATTAACATAATTTTGTTCAACAAACATGTTACAGACAAAAATTCAATGAATTTACCAACACTTCTTTTAAATTTCATTTACTGAACGTAATATATCATTTTGACAGCTGTGTAGCAGTAATTTTTTTTCGGATACTTTGCTCTAGATAATACGGTGGAAACTTCCCGTGATTCATTTTGTAGTCACACACTTATTTTGTAAACGTAATAATTGTGTTAGGCAATTTTAGACCGGAATATGGATGAGTTATGAGGACAAGTATATTGAAAGTTGCTTGTTTATTGATTACGATAGGATAGAATAAACTTGTGAGCTGTATTTTATAATTTTAAGTAACTACTTTTTTATATATGCATATTTAATTAACATTTGAGCATACGGATTACCTGATGGTAAGCATTCAATATCGCTCATGGACACCCGCAATACTAATAGAGTTACAAGCGCGTTGTCGACCTTGGTGGTTTACAAGGGATTTGAAGCGTAGTGATAGGAGGGTGGCCAAAAATTGAGCCTGCGGTAACTTCACTCACTTAGCGAAACAATTAAAACCGGTGTTCCGTGAGGCTGTGGTATCACTCCACGTGAGCGAGTAAACACATTTGAGTAAGTCATTTTCTCAATGAATGAAGTACATTTCACGATAGATACACACAATAATATAGCTTGAATTGATGTAGGTTTATGTAATTTATGTAAACATTCCTGAAAATTTACATGCGTTACCAAATTGATAGCCACGTATAGATCTTCTGGATTTAATTAAGTAATGTAGATAAATCTACTAGCATACTTTTTAGATCTAAGGTAAAGTAGCGTATTTATTGATATTAAACGTCAATTTGCCAGGTGGAAAATGTTTGGCATATCGTTTTAAATGTACTGGGTTCACCGAACTATGTTCCTATGGTTTGTTCATGTATGTATGCTTCATTTAGGAACTTAAGACATTCGATGCGGCGAAGTAAGATTTTCGAGTCGGGATACATTCTCAGTAATAGTACAGAATTTTTACCTATACTTTTTAATAGTATCAATATACTCATCTCATTTTTAATTACACTTATAACCTAGCTGATAAAACTTGTGGTGATGTTTTAACGTTGTCAACCAATGCTAGGATATAGATAGGTAACGCGTTATGGTTATTTAGACATCACTGGTATACGTTGAAGGAAATAATCATGACGAAACCTGGACTTATCATTTTCTAATTATAAGTATGAAATCGGCAATCGCCTTGAGCTCCCATAATCAAAGCAACTAAATAATGTATCAAAGAATCTTTATGTGACACTGATTTAAAAAGAATAACCATCGGAATCTACACTTTGGAACGAGCAACTAGCTTCGCTAAGAGGACATGTTTAAAAAATTTCTTGACGTTGAAAAGTGCAGTATTGGTCTAATTGAAATAACTGATTTTGACTTTGACTATGACTTTGAGCAAGCAAGCTGATTAATGCTCAAACCTTTTCCATGTGATAGATGCCTTTGCTCAATAGTGGGCGCTTTTAGGCTGATGATGATGACAAAGACGAAAATACATAATCCACCAAATATCAGATTAGCATTGGCTTAACTCTTACCTCAACATAAAAAGCAGCTTAAGTCATTGCCTAACTTACTCGCATATTTATCTTCGCTGCCCCTACTAAGTACTGTCCGTCTTAACAAACAACTGAGGCGACGTTGTTCTAGTACTTAGACGAAATAAACACATTTGTCTTGGTCTAAACCCCCAAACCCTTTGCGTGACACGCTAGCCGAGTCGGCTATGTGGCCCCGTCAGCTGTGTTCTGACACGTATTTATAGCCGTTATACCTTATATAGTACAGTTCATGTCACTTGAATCGTATTGTTGTTAAGGGGAAGGTTTTGCCTTTGGTCCAAACAAATTCGGTAATTTTAGTATATGGAAATTTTTAGAGTTTATATTTTAAAATAAAACACCCGTATTTAGGTACTCCCGGTCCTATGGTTAGTCAGTGCTACCAACCAATTGGATGATTGGCGAATACGCTGACATTGGACGCATAGAAACACCAACCCAACGCCTTAAAAAAAGCAAGCATTTGCCTACTATTTCGAATGGTGGTAAGCATTGATGGGACTTACGATGGAACACTCACTATTGATTATTCCTCTTGACACAAGATTTGATAAAAAAAAGAGGGAAATCCCTTCCTCGCTGTGGGCAGGATATCCACAACTAAGCGGTGATGTTTTTCAATTTTTGAATATGTTTTTCGTTTGGTATTACGACCGTGGAAAGGAATAAAAGGAATCAAATTGTACAATTTCCCTACACACGTACCGAAACGTATGCGATAAAAAACCGAAAAGTGAGTTATTAAAACTCATCAAAGACTGTACACATTCTATTAAATGGACGTGTGGAATGCAGAGGAAAAAACGCTTCAAAAGTCAAAAGCCAACCCCTAGCATCAAGTTGAACGAAAGACTTTGATCCTAAAACGCTGGCATCGAGTGTACCCAAGCAATCGCTTTGGAACCACAAACTATTTCAATTCCAGAACTTTTCACCCCCATTTTTCATTCCTTTAGGGATCAGACTAAGTGTCAACTGTCGTACTAAAAGGTCAACAGTGTGAATGCGAGTATTTAGAGTTAGTTCTCTGATATATGGTAGCTAATTCCAATTTTAGTACAGTTTATTTGAAGTGGGTTATGTTAAACTCGTTTTAAATTTGTAGCTTGTAACATGGCTTCCTGGCTGGCTTTAATTCTTTCTACTTGTATAGCAAGGAAGGGATGTATATATGTTTCCTGTTTAAAACATTGGAACAACTGAATGTACTGGTGCGAAATTGTGAGAAAAAAAAGATAGATTACATTAAAAAAAAGTTAGATTTTCGGAAGTAAATTATTTGTGTGTAAATCATTCTTATGATGAAATACTAATTATTTGTTCTTTTGTTTCAGATATATTGCTATAACAGCATACGTCGTATTCAATACAACAAACGCATTTGGTAATAATTACTTTCTTTTTATTTTTCATACGTAGGTATTGTGAATAGATCACAACATTGCTAGATACATTATACGACTTTTCACTACATAAATTACCTTGAAAAAATTCTATCGGAATTTGATTCTGGAACTTTTGTATCTCTAGAACAATTATACTTGAACAAAAAGGTCTTCTATAAAATATTGTGCCTTATTTAAGATAGTATAGATTTTATACCCGGCTTAAATACACAAATAGTAAGGTGACTAAGATCCTATTAATACCGAACGCCACCAAAAAGCTCCCGTGACGGTCACCATTAGTGCTTCATCAAGATTAGGGTGTAAACAGCCTGTTATACGGTAGCGTCTTTTGTGCTTCGTTTAAACGATTCCATGGTCGAGTCCTTAAACTTAAATATATTAGAGTAGCTTTGTCATGAGGATATAGGTTATAATGTTGTCTGTCATATCTATGTTGACCGGGGTGTGTCGCTTTCCAACAGTGAAATAATTTATCAAATCAGTCCAGTATTTTCGAAGCATAATCAATATAAACGAACAAAAAATCAAATCTTTTTATTTAAATATTAGTGTAGATTCAGATCATTTATTGTATACTGATTGAGTTTGATTTAAATGTTTTTTGTTGCAAGCTTTCTGTTTTATTTTAAACCATGTTCAATTCTTATAATTGCCACAATAATAAGCAGATTTTTAATTGAGATTGAAAAAGTTTCTTATAAAGTTGTTCAATTAGGTACTCTCTTCGATACTTGTTTTGTCATCAGTTCAAACGAGGCACGACTACGAGGATGGGGTGTTACTAACTTAGCTATTTGTTAGCTTCCACTTTGACAAATAGACATAGATAAGAATTTTGTGTTAACTAAGATGTTTATACATATAGTAAGTATACAATTGACCTGCCCATGCCCATTCGAGTTGGTCCTGTCCAATCACCAAAAAATTGCGTATTTTTTTTTATATCACATCAATGTTATTAAAATATTAATATCAACATAAAACTGAATATTATGTAATGTATGGTCTCTTGCACTTCGTTCAAATATAAATTTTATTTTAAAAGTCTAACGTGATAGGTAATTGATTTTTCTTTTCAACTTTTCAGATACAAAATACACATTGCTGCAACCACCATCGGAAACCGAAATAGTTGATGAATCCTACACTCCAGATCGTACGTCATACAAATTTGTGAGCGGCGAAGCGTTTCCAGTTGATCCTGCATCCACAGACCTGATTGGCACAAGACTAGCACCTCCATTCCTCGTATCGTCAACATTCAAATCATATACTAGCAAATCCTTCTGCGTATTTTCTATTAAACAAAATGACGTAGTTGTTTTAAGCTTATGTTTGCAACCAGCTGGAAAAAACGTTTCAAGAGTCACCCTTAGAACTGAACTATACACACCAAGCGAGTCGATTTACTACTTATTCAATGAGAATTACAAAGATAATTGGGTCAAAATCGTGATGTATGTCCACGATGATACTGCGGACTTGTACGTGAACTGCAGCAAGCAACCAAACATGCTGATTCTGGACAGAAATTTTGATAATATTCTGCTGACGGATCGCATGGAAATACACGTGGCTGTTTCACAGAGATATAAATTTGAGGTAAGCGATTTTTTTTTCAACTTTCTTTTGGTTAGCACTACAATAACGGCAACAAACCAGCCATTGACATTTCAAACAGCTACGAATGCGTTTTTTGGTTTTTTAAGGGCTAGGGATTTGAGGATTAGAAATTCGGGATTGAGAATTGGAGAAGCAAAAGGATCGAGTCAGAAGGATTACTTTTTCCATGCATGAGAAAATCTTGATACGACCTTGATCTTGACGTTTCGAATTGTAATCGGCACCGCCAATGGATACTCGCAACACGAGATAGTTACAAATGCATTGCCAGCCTTTTGAGGATATGGGGTTTTGGGAACATATAGATTAGGCAGGGGAAGGATTGGGCCTTCGGTAACTTCACTCACGCGGCGAAACACAATACTAGTTGTATCACGCCGTTTTCATCTTCGAAGCCGTTCTATCGCTCCGGATGAACCGGCCCATTCTTTCCGACGCTTGTGTTGTAAATAGGTCAATAGTATTGAATAGTTAGAAAACATTGATCATTTACTATGTTGGTATGTGTGTATGGTGCGTGTATAGGAAGGATCACAATTACATCGCAATATCATCTTTATATCAGCCAAAAGTCGTTCACTGCCGACCCGGTCTTCCCCAATTATTATGTACTTAATATATGTACATAATACGTACTAGTTCGTAAATAACAGTGAGTCACACGGCGTGTCAGGAAAGTTCAGATTCTTGATAATATTATGATTAATGTGGAACTAGATAAGTCTAGTCTAGGTTAACTAGTTGTAATAGGGTTAACAATTTCTTTAGTTTTCATTTATGATTATGTTAGATAAGAGACTCAATAAAAATAGTATTTATAATATGTAGAGATTTGCATATATGTTGCTTTTTTAATAATGAAGGAGAAAATGGATGCGGTTGAAATTTCAGGGAGACGTTCTGGCATATTGTCAAAAGAAACTATACTAAATCTGAAATTGTATATTTGTAAACGCACCCACGACACAGGAGAAAATCCTAGCACTGACCTGCGCTTGCGGTGCGCGGTGGCCGGAGTCGATAACCGATGTCCGGAGTGTTGGCTTTTGTGGTGGCTGTGGCGTGAGAAGGATAGTTCCCTCACGCGCTCTTCTTTGCGAGTTAAAGTATGTGTACCACACAGTCAAAATACGCGAACCTTATTCTACAATAAGTATATTTCTACCTACCTCAATAAAGCTTAAAAAGACCTGTGGCTATGAACCTAGTCTACATAGACATAATGACTGCGTTATCTAAACAGCTGACCTTTTTCCCGTTAGTACCACCCTCTTGAACATCCACGTCATTCATTTGATAACATTTATCATAGGAGTACTTACCTAAGTTAAATGGTTTGGAACATAAATAATTATAAACATTAATTATGAATATTATCTTGTCTCTAACGTTATTTAAATGATAAACATGTATTGTTAATATTTATTTATATTATATTCATTCATAAAATTGTTAAGTACTGGTAGCGTAATTTCAGCTCAATTTTCCATTCACTGGTATTTAGCGGAATATATATACTTCCCCTTGTTACAAAACAAGATTTATCTTTAGTCCAGGCTTAAACCATTGATTCGGGGTTTGAATTTTGAATCTTATTGTCATCTACCTTCAATTCGAAATACAAAAACTGGCTCAATGGTTTAGTCCTAGACTAAAGTAAAACCTTGTTTTGTAATAAGGCCGATAAAGTCTTGACATCGTCTGTGTAGTACGAAACGAAATGTAAGGATGTTACGATTTTGACCAAAATAAATATAATATGAAAAAGATGTACATACTTCTGGCGTATTGAGTAACACCTTGATATGTTATATTAGTAGATTTCTATCTTTAGACTGGTTATTTTCAGGTTACTTATTATATAGTGTAAGATCAAGAACGATTTATTCGTCATACAATCATGAATGAACTGAACATATTTCATTTGACTACTATTTTCTATTTAAATGGGCGGCAAACGAGCAGGTTATTAACCTGATGGTAAGCTATCGGACAACCACAACACCAGAAGAGTGACGTGTATGTCGTCGGCCGTCTGTGGACTATGGTTTTGGTGATTTAGGGATTGGGAAGGGACGGGGGAGGAAATCGTCTGAGCCATCGGTAACAACAATCACACGGTGAAACGCAAGGCTGTGGTGGTTTTATGCCGGTTTCTATGAGGCTACTACTAGCTTTGTGCCAACGAGTTTGCTCACATAAAAGAGTCCGTTTCCTTTTCTCTTAGTGATCCCATAGGCAACTCTTTATTATAAATACTTAGTTTAAGCTATTTTTATATGTGAATCGGTCTTTTAGATTGCGCCACTATTGATCATAAACTTGCCAGTAAAGGTTTACTTATTTAAATAATTAAGTCTTGAAATTTGAAATACATACATATAATTTTTCCTATTTCCGCCATCCTTATTCATTAAATCCTAAGACTTCTTGATCGTGTAAAATCAGCATCTTCATCGACAACATCATGTAAATAGTAGTAACGATATTTAAAAATACCTTAAAACATTGTTGTGTTAGCACTATATTCTAATTAATGGTAAATAATATTGATGACAAACTCAATTCGCACCTAATTCCGGCTCGTACTGACACACGGCGTTTTAGTTCGTTTAACATCTGTTATTACTCGAATTTACATTTATTTGAATACGAATATCGAATGTATACAGTCCCTCATTCAACTAATTTGCAACCGGCTCAATAGAGTGTTGATTGTAAGTTTATATTAAACATTTATTTTTATATTTTCGTCGAGACTCAAGACAAATAAATGCTTTTCTATATCCGTAATCGTTTTGTTTTGCTGATCTAAATCTTACAGACATAGGTACATACGATATGACAAAGAGTGCAAAATCGATTAACAAAAAAATCACCGCGTCTGAATCAGATTTTTATATTTTATGATAGTAGTTGGAAAATAGGGCATCCAGATCAGAGATCTGGATACCCTATTTTCCACATTTTAATCTTCTATTCACATATTATTTTAAGATAGCAGGCATGGCAGTAATATTCATAAAAAAGATCATACTTATTGAATATGATAATATGGAATGCTCTCGCTATTGTCCATTGCGCTGCCTTATATACCTAGGTACGTAGTGCAGTGGCTATTTATTACATGTATAAGAATGAGTTAGCAATAAAAAAATGATATTTTGAATTATTTTATTTTAAATATACAATTTTTGATATTTTTATAGTTGATATCTATTCATTACTACATAGGTACACTTATAATTATTTACATAAACTTTTTTAGAAAATTAAACATACATAAGTGGTAAACGGTAACGTCTATACATTTTAAATTATTAAATCTATACTCTTGGTTCGATGTCATCCTGAATTTTGGCAATTAATTCTCTCGTACTGGTATATATATCATCGTATAATATAGTTTTCACAACATGTTGAACACACACATCAGCCTCACAATTACACATCGGCTGTTCGGATTTTTGAAAACTGTCTGTATCATAGATTTCTATTTTTATTATTTTCGTTCCACGAGAAACAGGCTTCTTTATAAATTGATAGAATGTCTGATCTGTTTTTGATCTCTTGCGAGCGAGACCCAGCGTCTTCTGTCCAGTGGTTTGTTGGACTGGTTGATTCATGGGTACAAAATTGAAGAGATCCTCCGAGTCCTGAAATAACAATACAATATTAATTTAAGTTACACTACAAACGTTACGATTGAAATAAAGGCTTATGTGGAAATAATTAATGCTGTGATGCTACTTACTACTATTGTTAATATTAATACATTTTTAAATTGTTAGTGAATGTATTAAAGTAACACTTACCGACATTCCGCAATTATATCAGTCTGATTCAGTCTTCACCATCAGATTCAAAGATGAAATGGATTTCAATTTATTATATCCCCCTTTTATATTTTTAAATTTAATTATTTCTTTTAATACATAGAGTTCAATATCGTATATTTTTGTTAGATGTTAATATCTATACAAAAATGGTATGGTGAAATTGAAACCGCAGACATTACGACGCCTAACATTTTATTGTTTATCGAAAATATATATCGACAAAATAATACTACTGTATTTTTGTTCACGGTTATTGTTTTCATACATTTTATTAAAATGATTTGGCAAGCAAAATCATGGTATGTTAATAGTATATCAGCGTTAGCGAATTTGCAACGTAGCTGAATTCTTTTTAAGGAGACGGATCATAACAATTGATCAATATCGACATACAATTATTAAGCCTGGTTTTACCTGCTATTATTATTATAAAGATTAAAAATAAATAGTTTTTTGTTATTAATTTATTTTTTTAATAGCTTAGATGTACCTCTATGCTGGAATAAAACACAAGATTTACTTAATCGATCTGATTATTATTGTAGTAGGTACCTACAATTAGTGAGCATCGACACGTTTTACGTTTTCATACAATTGTTCAACTTCTTCTATATTTCATAAAAACAAATAAGTTATCATAGTAATTGTGAAAAAATTATAAGATAAATACAAGCTTATTTTTACATACCGAAATATGAGATTCTGACTAGTCATATCTCCATTCCTCCACATGTCTAGAAGTTGCATGCGAGCGTGCAAACCGCAGCGTTTGTACCGTCGCCTGACGTCAAAAACATTCAGTAAAAAAACAACAATCTTCAAACTTTTTTTCTAAATATGAAATTCCCCTATTGTTTATTTAAGTAAGTATCTATATTCATCATCCGTCTACATTATCTATCTATACATATAATAATCTACACTAATATTATATAGAGGAAAGATTTGTATTTTTGTATGTTTGTAACGAATAAACTCTAAAACTACTTAACCGATTTCGATGAAACTTGGCATACAGATAGACCATAACCCGGAATATGACATAGGATTTTTTATCTCAGTATTAAGTTCCCGTGGGATAATTTAAAACTAACGCGGGCGAAGCCATGGGTAAAAGCCATCTTATATAATAACACTAAG